CACACAGGAGGCAGAGGCAGGCAGATCTCTCTGAGTTCCAGGCCAGCCTGGTCTACAAAGCAAGTTCCAGGATAGGCCAGTCAGGGCTGCTATACAGAGAAACCCTGTCTGGAAAAACCAAACCAACCAACCAACCAACCAACCAACCAACCAACCAACCAACCAAAGAAACAAAGCAGATTGATACTCTCATGAGACGAGAATTCAGAGTTCAGTGGATGTGGAAGTCATACAGTGATGTGTGTATTGTAGTGGCATTGTGTTTTTCTAGGATCCTTCAGAAATCAAGATCAAGTTCTTCTAGCTGGGCCAGTAGATGAGGAAACACACCATGTAAGAGACCCATAGAGGTAGGGAATTGCTCTTAGCTGAGGAGACCTTTCTGACAAGCTAGAGATGGAAGCTCTGGGTGAAACAAGCAATATAGTAAAGAACACACGGAAACAGAAATCTATCATCCAACAATTGGTCGATCAATCATCTACATATCCCCTATCTACCTATCATTCATCTATGATCTATCTGTCCACCTATCATCTACCTATCATCTATAGTCCATTAATCACCTATCAATACTCTATCATCTATCAGTTATCTACCTATCATCTACCAATTATCTGTCATCTATCCAGCTGTCATCTACCTATCTATAACTGTATTGTCTATACCCATAGTTTGTTATTAGATGGGTACATTGCAAGCTTTTTGTGTGTCTCTGTGGCAGATGAGAACACCTTATGAAGAACACCATGTCCTTTGGCATAGTGTGAACAACAACCTTGATAAAAACCCTTCCTTGAAAAATTCCATTGACATAAGTCATAGATTGAGTTGGAAGGAACAATACGAATCACCTGGCTCACCATGTGTTTGGTGGTTGAATGCTTGACTACATCTCATCGGAATCCTTGTGGGCTATGGAGTGAGTGAGATGAGGAATCTCCGGTTTTATTTATGACCCTTACTGTCTTCAAGTATTTGTCTATGCTCCATCAAGCCATTTAAGTGAAAGGTAACTACACAAAAGGACCAATTCTTCCTTTCATTAGTCATCTGGGCTTTTGAAATGTTTTTGAAACATCCCCTTAGACTTTGTCAGCCGTTCAGAAAACTGCAAGATCTGTACATCACTCAAGTTTAACGGCATGTGATTGTGAAGTGTAACAATCGGTGGGGGTTTTGTGTGTTTCTCTTTAAGTGTAAGCTAGGTGCCAGATCTTTTTTTCTCCCGAGTTGTTAATTGTTTATCTGTGTTTGGCTTGTATGGTTCTTGTTAAATGTTTTTGATTCTTTTGCGCTTCTTTAGCCAGCCGAAGCGATGAGAAGAGAGTTTGCGATGGTGTTTTTCAATGAAAGCTAATGGAAAACATGAACACAAGGCATTTGAGAAATGTAGTAAGGAGCAGCGATGGGGACTAACTGTTCTTCCTCTGCTTGTGGGTGAAGTGCATGCCCACACTAATGGTGTGTCATGTGCCTTAGCTCCCAGCTGCTTAACACCTACACTAAGACATCTGCATCACAAACACGTGTCTCTTAGAATAAAGGAAGGTAGATGCACTCAGTGCCTGTAGTCCGTGCATGTTGCTAGAGTTTTCCTGCCTGGCCCACAGTCAGGGCAAATCTCTCTCACCTGCCAGTCCCACAGCCGCTCAGACCCGACCAAGTAAACACAGAGACTTGTATTGGTTACAAACTGTATGGCCATGGCAGGCTTCTTGCTAACTGTTCTTTCAGCTTAAATTAATCCATTTTTATAAATCTATACCTTGCCACATGGCTCGTGGCTTACCGGCATCTTCACATGCTGTTTCTCATCGTGGCGGCTGGCATTGTCTCTCTGACTCAGCCTTCCACTTCCCAGCTTTATTCTCCTCCTTGTCCCGCCTACACTTCCTGCCTAGCCAATGGCCAATCAGTGTTTTAATTATTGACTAATCAGCAACACATTTGACATACAGAACATCCCACAGCACGTGCACACAGCTCCAACCTCTCTCCTAAAATCAGAGCACTCCATAGTTTTTGTAGACATGGGAATGTTTGTGGGGAAAGCTTCTAAGTTCATTAGTTGATATATTATGGTTTGCAAGACACCTTGCCTTAGCAAATGGAACATCTGCTATAAGCCAATGGGGAACGTTGGTATTTCAACTGTACAAATTTGCAATGTAAGTTTAGATAATTATTTTTGCCTATAAAGACTCACATGATGTCTCTCTAGTTACTATATAACATTAAGCTTTCTCTAAACCCTCAAAGAGTCCTCAGGAGAAACTTGTCTACGGGCTGGTGGAATGTTCTGGCTCACACACCTTTTCTGTCTGGGCAGCTTCTCTGCCCCAGGTGGTTTAACTGGTTCCTTGCAGAGAGTCTGGAATGGAGATGTCAGAACTCCAATGGGTGGACTAGTCTAAGATGAAGCAATTCAGAAACTTACAAAGGCCTCGTTTTAGGGGTGTGTGTGTGTGTGTGTGTGTGTGTGTGTGTGTGTGTGTGTGTGTGTGTCTGTCTGTCTGTCTGTATGTGTGCACGCATGAAACCCTGTAACTAAGCAGACATTGGCTTTCCTAGTTTAAAAGTGATGAGGACAGGCATCTGGGTCCTAGGTAGCGCCATTTCCCACTGCCAGCGGGTATACACTTCAGTGGCTGTGCTCTGAAGTTTATCACACAGGATCGCTTTGTTTTCCTCATATACGTTCTCCTTGAGCCTGGACCACATATATATTTAGAGCCTGTTTACCTCAGCTTCTGTGAGCGGCAGCTGGCAGGAGAGGGAGAAGTCAGTAATATTGGAACCACGTGGCTGATGGGAGACAGGGAAATCTCTAGAAGCAGAGTGGTAGGTAGCCCTTTGCAGAGTCCCTTGGGATGATACCCTTTGTGTGAGCCAGTGTACAGTTTATACAGTTCCTGTGGAGTTTTGCCTGCAGGAGATCGTTCCCATACTGCCTTGATGCTGTTTTCTCCCACAGACCACCGCCCCTGGGACTGAACTGTGTTCGCCACTGTAAATCTCAGGGCAAGGAACTGTCACCCATTTCTTGAACAAGAAAGTAAAAGTTAATATTTAGTATCTACAATGAGGCTATTCACAGCATAAGAGTGATGGGAGTGGATGTCTGTTCCCTGATACCTATTCTCTGTTTTATACTATGTCACAGGCATGTTCTCATGTCTTTTAACTACCATTTGAAAATCTTTTTCATCATTTTGTAAAATTTATTTGAATAGGCCATGATGGAGACTTAAGCTAGTTTCTGGGTTTTGCTGTGATAGAAGACCTTTACTCGCTGTGGAAGGGGACTGCTAACTCCCCGAAGAGACACACATCTGGCTTGCATTGTTACCCATGCTTATTTATTCATCAATCATTTCAATTAGAAGAATACATGCTTCTAGATGAAATATAATGGTGATACTTGGGTTTCATCTTTGCATGAAAAAAATTAATTTTAAGAGGCCAGGAAATTTCACATGCCACAGATTTCACAACTCTATGCTAAATATTTTGACCACAAATAACCAGACTTATTTAATGGTTTATGTAATGAAGCATGGCAGTGCTTTTTGTTGTTGTTGTTGTTTGTTTTGTTTTTTCGAGACAGGGTTTCTCTTTGTAGCTTTACGCCTTTCCTGGAACTCACTTGGTAGCCCAGGCTGGCCTTGAACTCACAGAGATCCGCCTGGCTCTGCCTCCCGAGTGCTGGGATTAAAGGCGTGCGCCACCACCGCCCGGCTGTTCTGAATATTTTCAAGCTGGATTTGGTCACACCTGCAAATGTGGAATTCCTCTTATGTCTGCCTTCTTTTTCCTGTGGGCATGTGTAGTTGAGTTAGGGGGATAAGGAAGACAACGGAGGTCTACATGGTATGGTCAATCCCTTTCCTACACTCTCTCTGTATTGCCCAAGGTCCGGGTGTAACAATCAATAAGTATCAAGTTTGTGGATGGTATCCCCTGTCTTCTCCTGTTGGGAGAATTTCTTCTTTCCAAGGTTGCCAGTGCCTCTTTTATATTTCTAAACTAAAGCTCCTCAAGGAGGACCTGTGGGACATGCCTGTAACTGCAGCAGTTTGGAAGGCTGAGTGGGCTATGCAGTGAAACCCTATGTCCAAAAAGAAAACAAAATAGAACAAAACAACAAAACAAAACACATCAACATCCTTCTCAACATGGCATCCCGTAAGGCTTCTGTCTTTGGAATGGACTGTTCTCCCAAGTTGTCTTTGCTGTCCCCAACCAGCAGGAAGCCACCTGACTTGTTCCTACATAACAGTCCTTACTAGTATTTTGATTCCATTTGGGTAGCTTAGTTCCAGGACCCCAGAGTGAGGTCCATTCTACCTACAGGTAAACTTACAAGAGAGGTCCACTAGATTAAAAACGGAATTGGGGGTGCTAGAGAGATGGGGGAGGTGGTGAAGAGCACTTGTGCTTGCAGAGGATTGGGGTCAGTTCTGAGCACCCAGATGGTGGTTCATAACTATTTATATCTTCAGCTCCAGAGGATACCACGCCCCCTTCTGACCTCTGTGACACACAGGGTACACACATATATGTGCAGGAAAAACACTCATACACATAAAATAACACATCCAAAAATTAACAAACAAACAAACAAACAAACAAACAAACCAACCAGAGTTGGTAAACCAAATCAGGTTTCAAAAGAAAGAAAACACGGAGGTTTTTGCTGTGAATGTGAAAGCCTCTCTTCTTTTCCCAGTCATGGAGGATAAACTGAGTGAGCGTGTGGGAGTCTGGCTTGAATAAACTCTTAAGATGACGTCACCCGTAATTAATTGCCTGGCTCTGCATTCTTTCCAAAGTGATGGCTCTTTAGTACCCACACTTATGATAACTTATGTCTCCTGAGTACAGGAACCCCAGGACAGCCAATTTAGGAAGAGACAGTGAATGCTTTCTTATGTAATCTTTGTGCTACTGTAGTGGGCATGATGTTTAAAATATCTGCTTTTTTCCCCTTCTTATAGTGCCTGAAACAGTATATGATGCTGTCCATCCGAGAAGGATGTGGGTCTCCCATCACTTGTCCTGACATGGTGTGCCTGAACCACGGGACCCTGCAGGAAACCGAGGTATGGACGCCTGCCGTAGCCTTCTTCACTGCTGAATTATTTCTTAGGATCTTGACTCTTAAGTACTGCCTACTAGGGAGTTAGTGACAAAATACAGAGGTTAACTTTTTAAAGAAGTGTTTTATTTCCACACGGAGCTGGAATCTTTATACAAGCTGTGAGCATGGCTGTTTATCTCAGTTCTGTTTATGTATGCCGTCTCACGTGTTGTAGAAGCTCTTCAAACAGGCAAAGGTGCTAGAAATCAAAGTTACCAAGAGTGAGGCTGGAGGATGTTTAACGAATGTTCTCATGAGCCTGAAAACTTTGAAGATAGACAGACCATAAGTGAGGGAGTTATATGGTATATAAATGGTCGCAGGTCTATACTAGTTTGTTTGTTTCATAATGTAGCCTTCTGTAGAGGTAGTCTGAGCTTGAAACATTTCCAAAGAGCAGGGAGAGAGGCAGCGGGGCCGCCTGAGGCATCAGCTAGGCCTTTCCTCTTGGAGCAAGTTTTCCTATCTCTCCAGGTTGCAGTTTATCTCATCCTTTTGATTGATTCCCCGACCCCCTCATTGGCTGGCCTGAAATCTGCCTCTGGACCTTCAGGCTCTGTTCACCTGAATATATGAACTCTTGTCTGAGAGAATGTATAATCCTCCAAAAGTGCTCCCAGGAAACTGATGAAATAAACTGCCCAGTCCGTAAGCACCGGGCACCTGCTTAGCACCAGGTACTTTTCCTCTTGCTTCTTTGGCCTGTGTACTCGTTAATCCTTCCCAGAAGCCTCCTGAAGTCTGGTGTTCCTTTAGATATGGAAACTGAAGTCCAGAGGCTGTAAGTGACTTACCTCAAGGGACCCATCTGGGAAGAACTAGAATTCTCATCCAGTTCTTGTGACCACCACAGTTGCATAGCATTAAGGGGAAACAAAGTAGGCAGACCAAATGTGTGGCAGAAGACTTGATAATTAGGGGCTCAGCAGTGTGTGGGTAGACATAAATATGTATATAGGTAGATGTGTGTATGTGTAGATATACATCTTCCTGAATACACTTTTTAAAAAAACATACCCTTTGTTAGAAAAGCAGGGAGAAAGTGGTGTAACTACTCCTACCCTGACTTAGTCTGTCCTGCGTGGAATTTATGAAGCATTGGTATAAGTGAGGTAGATTTTTTCTTTTAAAGAAATACCCTTAAAGGAAGCATAAAAGGAGTACTTAATGATGTAGAATTGACTCGTTTTAAGAAAATAACAAAGCCAAAGTTTTGTTAAAAGTATTGAAAATGTACATCCTGTCCCCAAGGACCACTGCTTACTTTTGCTTGAGTAATGGGGCGAGGAGACTAAAGTATGAGAAAGTAGCTGTCCACAACCCTGCTCACCATGTGTTATGTAACAGAATCATTCGCAGAAGGAGGTCCAAGTATCTGAGAGCATCGATCTTGGCGCTATCCTTTGACTTGTTTCTCTGATGTCTTATCTAGTCCAACGATAGAGAGAGCACAAGGTGCAGGTACCACCCTGTGCAGAGGCCGAGTGGAGGCCAAGGAGGCCCTGCACCATCCTGGAGGATCGTCTGACCTAGCAGAGGGGCTGTTAACACACAATGAGCCAGACAATTATAAAAGTGAAATTCAAGCGATGTGGGGTAGGCTGTACAGGCTGGGTTTGGGTGAACTCTTATTTAATTCCTGTATGGAAAATCTATTAAACATAAGTGAACAGTTTGGTGAGGTTTCAAAACAAAGCTTATGAAATTAATCTAGACCCAGTCTGGCAGTTGCCAGTCAGGTGTGGATATTTAATTGTAGTTCAATTAAAAGTCTATAAAAGAAACTTAATCTCTCTGGTGTGCCACTTCAGAATTGCTTTGAAGTGTTCATAGCCATTCATGGTTAACAGCTACATGATTGACAGCTCGGAGTGGAGACTCTTTCTCACTGCTGAAAGCCTGGTTTCAGTGTTGTCCTGGACTTCCCATGGCAGCACTATCCACTGACGTCTTGGATGTTGACTGCTAGGGCCAGTGTGTTCAGACACTTGCTGAGTTCAGCCCAAGTCTCTCACAGAGCAGACTTTAGGTTTTCTGACTGTCCTTGTACACCCATCTCCTGGTAGCATTCTGCCGATTCTTTCCCAACGGTACACATTCTCACTCCTTTCTAGCTGCTACTAGCTGTTTTTAGTTTTTCTCCCCAAAGCAATTTTGCTCTAAGGCTATATTAAAACTAAACAATCCCACAATATTTCTCAAAATTCATAAAAATTTCGAAGTATATTTGGGAAAACAGAACAAAACTATTCCATACTAAACTAATTTAAAATTTACCACGTCTTTTTCTCATTAGATGAACAGTAGGACTCTCCAGGGCATTTGTGGACCATTTCTATTCTCACTGGCTTTACAGAGAGCCCAGCTAATGACGAAAATTCAGATACAATAGTCAAATTCTTGACCAACCTGCTAGACTTGCAGTCTCCCGTGGTAAAACCGTGGAATGGCAGTGGGGGTTGGTTTCTGTCTGAATTCCAAACTGAACAGAGATTATATTGGAGATCTAATTAGCCTTATCTGTTTCTTTGGGACTCTTCCTTTAAACGTAATACCACACACAGATGAACTGGGGCTGTGCCACCCACTTCCTACCATAAAGATTTCATCGTGTATAATCCTTATGCTACTGCATGGCCCAGAGCCTCTGCCCTTGTGACTGTCTCACAGTGGGGCCCATTTACACGGCACTTGACTGGACTCCACCAGGACTCTTTTCTTCTTTGCCCTTGAGAAAAATGTTTAACCGTGACGCATAAATACGCTTGTTAGAGATGGCTCTGGCTGCAGCTGGATGAGCTCTTTGTGTGCGTGCTTTCCTGTGTAGGTCCGGCTCGCTCACTTGGCCGTGCTCCCTGCCTGTCTTCCTGAATCCTCTAAATTGGCTCAGCTGTGGCTCTGCCTCTTCATGTTTATCTGTCAAGAATAGCCTCATTAGGAAAGCATTTTGATGCCCAGTTCAAGCCCTCTTTGCTTACACAGGAGACAGAACATGGCAGCTTCTCTTGCAGTGTCCCAGAAGCTGGTGACTGACGGGGACTCGTGGCTCAGAGGTGACCTTTCTGGGAGCTAGGGGAAAGTCAAGTTTTCCTCCATTGCATCATCCGGTACTTTCACCGATTGCTCCGCTGGGCTTTCCCATGTATTGGAACCAGGAACCTGTCCAACATGGAATTATGAACACAGGACACAGATGGTTATTTCTGTCAGCGTGGCTTTAAGTAAAGCTCGGTATTGAAAGGCCATGTTTAATCTCGGCAGTTCCCTCCAGTGCTGGAGAAGTAACATGCCCCTGCGGGGAGAGGCTACACTGTCTGTCTGTGCTGTGTGACACCAGAGTGACAGGCACGTAAAACCATCAGAACAGTACCTGTCACTGCATGGCCAGAGAAACCGGCCTTTCCCCGACTGGCAGCTGGCAGGGGAGGCAGGAACGCGCCCCTCACCCACCTCTCACACACCAAGCCTCTTTCCAAGTCCTGGGGCCCTAAAACAACCAGTCTGCTGCCTTTTACTCCCAGTGCCCCAGTGTGCACCCGAGGAAGCCTTGCCAGGAACAGGGTCTCAGAATTTCTGTAGGAAGGATTTAGAGTGTGTAGCCCAGAGGTCCAGGGGCGGGGGAAGGAGAAGAAGGGCTAAGGAAATCTGAAGTTACATGTGCAAAATACAGTTTTCCCCGGATGATGTGTTTATTTAAGGTGGCTTTGGGAGAGGCGGCTGGAGCTATAGGAACCAAACGTTCTTCATGGCTGCCCTTTACCACCCCTTCCCTCCCGTTACCATGGTGGGAAGCCGGGGCAGAAAGATGGAGATGGCCAGGCTAGTGAGTCTCTCCTCTGACTGTGATGTCAGGGTACAAACGGGAAGGGACTGATGTGTGGGAACAACCATCCATTGTGATGTGTGCCGGCCAGCTAGAGAAAAGCTAAATTTTGGAGGTGGGAGGGGGCCAAGGGATCTGCCAAGCCTGAGTCAAGAGATATTTCTGAGGTTCCCAGCTGAAATTTATTTTTTGAACACATTTAAATTCTTTTTTTGAGATGTATTTAGAGCCCCATGTAAGTGGAGAATAAAATCTCTGGGATTCTTTAAAAGCCGCACAAGAAAACTAAGCAGCCGTTTAGTTGAATTCTATCTCAGCTGCACACATGAGTGTGTTCTTTTAACCCCTAGGATGGCGGTAGGAGAGAAGGCCAGGGGTGATGTGAACAGCGATCTTGGTTCCAGGATGCACCGCGGCAGCTGCAGAACCCACCTTTCATCCCTCACCCCCCTGCCTTGACGCCCTCTGTCTCTTTCCATTCAAGATTTGGTATCCAGTATTTAGGTGTTGTGCTCAGATGAATGGGCAGATGCACTCCTTTCTGCTGTTAGAAGGAGCCGCCTGTGTTTGGGGTTGAGATGGAGTCATTGCTAGTTTCTGGGTTAACTCTGTACAAGTGGTTTTTCCTGCCTCCATTTTGCAAGTCACAGCACCTCAGCAGTGGCCCAGACCTTGCTTGATGGGTCCTAATAATCTGTCCACAGCCAATTGCACTTATCTGATGCAGTCCACTGTTCAACTTGTGACTTTACTTTTTGTTTTTTTTAAGCAGCCTATTTAAAGGGCCAAACCTGAATAAAATCTTGACTTCTCCTTCCTATTGGTCTGACTTTAAAAACCAATAGGCAGTACTTCCTGAAGCCTGTCCTTAACTTAGAATTAACTATGACATGTTAGTGTTCTCATTTGAAAGAATATATGCTGCAGGATCCACTTAGGGGTTACCTATCACTTTCAGCATAAATATTTATGATGGGCGGGCTCCACTCTCCCCTCCTCTTCTCTCTCTTCCCTTTCTTTTTTCTTTTTTACAGGTTAGTGTTAATGTGGGTGGGTGCTTGCGTCCATGCTATGGTTCCAGCAAACACTGATTTTAAAAAAGCTGCGCCCTACTTTTTATTTCTCCTCAGCTGTGGCTG